CACACATAAACACATACACATAAACACATACACATAAACACATACACATAAACACATGCATGCGCATATCAAGCATACCACATTACAAATGGATAAATCTCAACAATGTTTTGGTATAAACTAAAACCTAATTAGGCCGAAGCGATCAGGACTATTTGAGACGGTTCAGCTGCTGGAAAAGGGCTCCATATCGTACACCTTCCAGTCTCAGACTTTAGCAGATAGCAAGTAACAACTAGTGTTTAGCTGCGCTGGACTATGGGCAACTACACCTTCCGGTAGATCTATGGCAGCTAAACTTGAGACCCTCCTTATGCCCAATGGCTGTGCCAGTTGGCATACCACCTCCCAAATTGGCCGCAATAATGAAGGCACTCGGCTTGGCACAAAATAGCCCAAAGACGAGAATTTTCGTCCGATAGTTGGTTGTCTGCTATCAAGACTCGGCCGTTTCATCTACCCGGAATTCGAGCCGGGCGCCAGTTTCAATCGAGACTTGAGAAGGACTGAGAGTTGGGCCTGGTTTTCACACTCAGACCCCAGCGACATGACGATCTGTACCTACCAGCCAAACCATGAGGCTGATGAGGCACACGTGGCCTCGAGAGAGGACGAACTCAAATTAAAAAAGACGCCGGAATGAGCAATTTTGGAGAGGACTGATGAAATTGCATTTATTTAAGGCATATTCACTCTATTTTCTGTATGGTGATAAGGGGACTGGTAGCTACTTTTTCACACAATGATATGAGTCTAGCTTACACTTTCATTGAATTGCACATAGCCTTGCTTTCCCAAAAGGTATTCTTAAACAAAATAGAATGAATACACTCTTGGTGGTTTCTAAAACCTAAAACATAAGTAACGCATTTATGAGATATGAAGAGAAGCTGGGTTTCGAAGAATACCTTAATAGATTGATACTGGCATACGTTTCATTTCGTTTGAGGAGGTGAGCATTATGCCCACTCATGATTGTGGGAAAATTCGAATACCAGTCCTTCTTCACCTTAAACGAAATGGAATGAAACACAGCTAAAATATCTGATTTACTATTACTAATGGTAGTCTCGAAACTCTATTTAGAAACGAAACAAAAGTATACTCCCTATTTCATTCAAGGGACTGGTTGTTGAATTTTTCCACGATCATATGGTAGTCTTGTAAATTTAATTATAAACAAAACAAAGTATTTAATGAGATGTATTCACCTTATTTCGTTTAAGGTGATGAAACTCTTATGCGAAAAAAAAAGAATTTGCGTTCGACTGACCTCGAGGTAGACGGAAAATCTTTCCCCATCTCGGATGGCCTCAACGTGGGCAGACCAAGGCAGGACTGGCCACCGAGTGTTGTGAACAAAGATGAAGGCGGTCGAGTCGTCACTGGATCCAGTCATCGGAGCGTTTAGTGCTCGACAAGGCCGGACGTCGACGGGGCTGGCCGCTTTGGGATCACAAGCAAGCAGGTCGCGTTGCATCAAAGCCGACAACTGAGCACGACCGAGTGTGGTACCACGTGCAGTCCAGTGCTGTCAACAGGATTTGAGATGGTTTGTCTGGTTGTGGGGATGGCCTCCAGGTTGAGTGGTACCATATCGAAGTCAGCATTGTCTGTCCTGACGGCAGACGATGAAATACACGACACTACGACAGCGCTTCGCGTCATCGCATCCACCCGATGAGGCAAAATATGATATCCCACTCAGACGGAAACGAGCCAGAGAAAGGGAAAGAAACACCGATGGATGGATAGATAGGCAGAAAGATCTATAGAATCATTATATAGCTAGATAGAGTGTGTGGGAGAGATAGAATGTAAGATAAATAGGAAAGCAAAGGTCAAATTGAGTGAATCACATAGACTGAAGTAGAGCTGGAGCTGTGAAGAGATAGATGAAAAGAGCTCGAGTCATGTGATCTGTTTGCCAGACCCGTTCCAGAGCCGAAGTATGGGGCGTCAGGGGGCCTTCAGGCGTCTGTAGGAAGAAATGAGGAGGAGAAGAAAAAAGAAAACAAAACGTTAGCCTAAGTCGACGATTCAGGAGTTTAGTGAAGTAAAATACGCCAAATGGTGGCGATTTGCTTTTGATCAGTAGGTCGAAACCCTTACCAACCCTAAGGTCTGTGTACCAGTCTAGAAGCCGGGAAATCATGTCGACTAGAGAAGTGATGGACCATCACCCACCTCGCAACTGGGTCGAAGCATGACTGAGCTTCCGTTTGGAAGTCTTGCGAACATAAGCTGAAGAGTCTCGGTAAAGATGAATGCACTTCTGCCATCGCTAGGGGCGGGACTCGGATCCAGGCAGTTGCGGCGGCTGCCGTAAAAAAGCTAACGAAGCCGCTCACAAGCGACTGTGACTTTACGGGAAGTAGGAGCTAAACTGCTTATCCATATCTTATCCAGCGTGTCCTTGTAGAAATTCTGCTGATAAAGAGATATTTTATTTTCAACTCGATCATCCTATTACTGAGGCCAGAAGAGTAGCAAAAGGTTTGCTGGTAGGTAGGATCTCGCTCACTTTCACTCTTTCCATTCAGCACTCGAGCAGTGGGCCTGAAACAAACCAATAAAATGAGCTGGGAATTGCACTTTAAGGGGCACAAGAGAAGTGCCTTTGCAAATTTTAGATGGATTTGGCGGCTGCTTCAAGTCATTTGGAAGGTTTTAAGTAGTGAGAAACGTAAAGTGACGGAAATAGCGATTTATTTCGTGTAATCGAGTTGCTCCACTACCCGACGATAGGAGAAATAATGCGTCAAACTGCAACATACCTTCCAAGAGGCAACAGATGGATATCTTGACAAACAAGTTATTTTGCCAACTCTGTAGCCAGTGAAATCAAGGCTAAAATTGTTTTTTGTAAAAGTCTAAATTCACATATACGAGGTATAAATGTGTGACCCATTTCACGAGGCTGAGCCGCATTTTTCGCGTCCGGCAATTTCGATTGTCAAATTCATCTTCGCAGAAAAGTGATTGGCCTGGAAGCGTCATGCCTTAGCGTCAGGCATTTTGATCTCCCGTCTTTGGAATGCCTTCAATTGAGACTTTCGTCTTTCTCCACGTACCACGTACCACGCAAGAGGCAACACGCAACACAGTACACCACTTCCACAAACGGCAGAAGTCTAAGCTTGGCGCCCGGACGATCGGCAGTGGAAGCAGTTTCCGTTGAACAGACTCATGCATCGATAGAATTCTCGTGCGATCACGACTTACCATCAGAAAAGGATATTCTAGCAGGCGTTTGCAGGAAAAGGCAGGCAACGAGGGCGTTTCGACTTGCCATGGTCAGAAGAAAAGTTTGGTTTCCAGACATCTCTCGTCTCATGATTGCTGAGCTTACTCCCATTTCAAGTGAGTGTTTGGTGAAGAGATTCTAAGGTCAGTTCCACCAGAAGACAACGGCGGATTCCTCTTGACCAACTGTCGATTGGCTTTACTGGAACATTCACGATGAAGCTGTTTCCGAAGTAATCGCATTCGATTCCGGTGAAAAGGTGCTAAGCTGTCGTCAGTCATTTGACGAACATCATAAGACCAGGGTCTCATCATCACAACCAAAGTCAAGCCAACGAGTCACCGACAAATGCCTAAAAATGGGTATATATACTCTACATTTGGCCTCTTTGATTGGGTATAAATTGATTTGGTTAGTTACGCTTATATGTCAACCTCGAAGCCTGTGAGTGTGTCAGTCTTTGTATGTGTATGTGCCTGTTTGTGATCTCTTATGAGCGGAACCTGCAGTCATGATTAAAAGTGATCAGGACAGCAAAAATAACGCCTGTTTTCGGCCATTAAGGTTTGATGACCCATATTTCCC